TGATATTTGTCAAGTATTTTAGTGGCTAGTAAAAACAACAATTTCTTATAAGCCCCTCTAATTGCATTTTCAAAAATTTGAAGTATTTTTGTGTATATTAACTCATTTACTTTCACAAGACCCCCAGAAAGTGGGCACTGCAGACCCCGTTAGTTCCCTTTGACCAGGGAGGGGTCTGAAGCAACGCTGAAACTTCCTAAGCACCACACAGCAGTACAAGAGCACATTTAGGTTTCCTAATTCCGAGTTCAGTGGATTTTCAGGAACTAAACTGCTTTACAGAGCCATCCCTGAGCCAATTGTGAAATAGCCACACTCTCTCCAGTGCCCCCTGTCACAGTCGGCTCCTCCGCTCTGCCATTTCTGCTGCCCTCTCGTATACCAGTCCCAGCAAGGACCCAGCAAGGACCCAGGCTGGGACGGCTCTGCCTTTCTGGGTTTCACTCCCTAACCGCGAGAGCTCCCTTATCTATCTGTCTGTCTGCAGAAAACCTGGTCTGTTCAAGGATGCAGTTGCTATGCTCTTGAAGTCTTCTGAAGTAATACATTTATTTTTATTAATTTAATCTTTAATGTATTTTTTACATTACCCATTAGTCCCCTTAATTCTTCAATGAAATATATTAAACTAATTCCTACACGTCTTCTGAGGGTAATACGTGCCCCCTTTTCTGGCCTAATACAGAAGTTTAATTTACATATTTATCAATTCTAGATCTGAATTTGAACACAATTCAAAAGTAATAATTATTAAAACTGTGTGGTATCAGTCAGTGGGAGCCTAGATAGGTATCTCAGATATTTACTATGATTTATAAAATAATTTAAAATACATTTTAAATATCTGGTGCTGTAATACAAAGTGAAAAAAATCCTTGGTAAACTATAAGGATACGTGACTGGTTATTTTGGGGAAAATTCAATTTTGAGCCCCACCTCACAACGCACGCACGCGCACACACACACACACACACACACACACATTCCAGGTGGAATACTAAAGGGGTTGAATACTTTTTAAGTGAAATTAAAATTTTAAGAAATTAGAATAAAATAAATATTAAATATCTAGGGGAATATTTATGTTATGGACTTAGGAATATAGAAGAAATCACAAAGGATAAGATCAACAGATTTTACTATATAAAAATAAGTTTCTGTTAGCAATTAAAAAACAATTTGGAGGAAATATTTGCAGAAAATATGATGATGAAAGGATTAAAAATTTTATTTAAGAAGAATTTGAATAAGTGGGTAAGAACAACATTATAATTCTAAGAAATAAATAAAAGGGAAAGAACATAAAATTCACAAAAATAATATAGCTTGTAACAAGACATTTAGAAGAATATTTAATCTCAACAAATAGCAAGAGAATATGAATTTACAATACAACTCCACCTTTTCTATATATGCGTGTATTGGTACAGATATTCTATGTTGACCCCTGAAACTGTCCAGTGTAACAGGACTGGCACTCTTAAACATAATTGGTGGCATCATAACTTGGCACAAGTCCTTTTTAAAAATTTGTATAGAATTTGTTGGGGTGACATTTGTTAATAAAGTTATGTAAGTTTCTATAACACATCACCTGTATATCTGTGTGTTCACCACCCCAACCAGCACGACTCTTGACAAGCCGTCTGCCAACATGTTATCCAAAGACTTAAATTTTGTTCCAGCCATTTCACTTCCAAGAATTTATCAGAAGGAACTGATTCAAAATATGGAAAAATCCATAAGCATGGAGAGGTACCTTAAAGCATTTTTAATAATAATGGAAAATTAGAAATGTACTTGAATGCCCATCGACAAGGAAATGGTTAGAGAAGTTACGATCACTACTTAAGAAAATGATGCGGTTGTAAAAGCAAGCATAAAGACTAGTTAGCAATATAGAAAAATAAACAATGTAATGTTAACTGAGGAAAACAAGAGATGGCATTGCATGAAGTGTTTGATTATAACTATGTAAAACATGAAAATGAAGAATACTTGAATTCAGAAAAATGGTCATGAATGCATAAGAGTGGTCATATTTAGGATAATTTTTTTGCTTTTCCCCTTTGATAAAATTCTGTATTATATTATTTTGACCAACTTAAAATTAATTGAAAATTAAATATTTGGGCAGGAGGGAATAGGAAGCCAAGCCGGACACATGAAACATATTTTTAGCAGCTGAGCCCTTGAAAATTCCTTTATATACAGCAAGTACCCACGCAGAGTACAGCCACACTGGAACCCAGACTCAGTGGTGGAGCCTTAACTGAAAAATAAAAGAATTAAAATCCAACTGCAAACACCATGCGCATTGTCAGGCCACAGTTTGAACAATGGATTGTTAGAGCTGGAAGGGCCTTTAGAGATCATCAGTCTCACTCACCACCACTCGCTTTCAAATACGCAAACACAATGTTACTAAATAGGAGAGAGTGAGGCTCAGAGAGGCTGAGAGACCGGCTCGGGGTCACACAGAAGTTAATGGTAGGGCTGAACTGTAGTCCAGGTCCCTGACCTCACGTTCGGTCCTCTCTCTTCTCTACCAACTCTTAGCTCAGGACAAAAGGAGTGAGCTTTAGAAAGAGTCTTAGTGGAAAGAGAATGTATAACTTCCATTTATAAATGTATATTGTTAAAATATGAATAATAAACCAGAAAACATTTCCCACATACCTATATACATCTCCCTTTCAACTTTCATTGTAGCAGCATCTGGATAAACCAGAAACCTTGAACAAAACGAAAAAAAATCACATAAAAATGTTGGCAAGGCCTAGGACTATGATCTGTCTCTGGCCAAACGGGGGAGGAATAGAGCCAAACAGAAAAACAAAACTAAGTAGGAACATCTGGGAGGAAACATTCTCTTTGCCAAGGATCCACCGCCCCCTTTCTGCGAGCCTACATCTTCCTGGGTCTGTGCACTGCCCCAGGGCTCGGGTTTGGCCGGGCGAGCCACACATGCAGTGCCAGCTGCAGAGTAGGGGTGGTGGCCCTCCTGGAAGAGGTGCTCCAGGGCCCCGGGGATCAGCGAGACCGGGCCCCGGGGAAGGGGTGGGACCCCAGCAGACACATGTTTTTCAAAGCTGGGCTTAAAAAAAGGAGCAACTAGTGTCAATTTACACAATGAAGAATTTAATCTGTTTCCAAAGATATTTGAATTTAAAAAAAATTAAAGACCAATAAAACAGCTCCTTTAAACTAGGACATTATTTTTTAAAAACCAGGAACTTGAAGAGGCCTCAGAAGCTGTCCAGGGAATGCATCAGATTATTCAACATGCTCTTTGCTTTTATGGGAACCCTTTTAAAATGGGAAGATATAGGAGTTTATTCTAAAAGTACAATAAGAGTAAGATTCTTTAACTGTATATAACAAACCTGTCAGCATGCTGGTAATCAATATTTATTCAAATATTTAGAAAGGCAGTAACTTAAAAATGACTAAATGTTAAACAAATAATTCCCATGGTTAGTTTCTATTTTCATCTGAGTCTGTATCCACTTTCCCCCCAAAATGTTAATGGACAAAAACAATTTTTAAATCCTATATACAAAGGCTGTAAGGGAAAGGGGAGAGAGGCCATGCCACATACCGAGGGGGTGACAAACACAGACTCATTCGTGTTTGCCATAAGGATGTTATATTTATAAATGAGTGAGGCGGAGATGACCAAACACTTTCTATGGGTATTTCCTTTGCAAATGCAGGGTACAGCACAGGCCAAGGTCCTTTCTACACCTGCATGGAACTAAACAATAGAAATAGTTCTTAAACCTATGCAAATAGGATTCCCTACTCCTAGTTCTTAAAAAATACAAAGAATCCTTGGGCATACAAGGAATCTTATCCAGCAGATACCAATTGCTTTTGAGACTCTGCTGACAGGACTTAGCATCTAAATGGGCCTGACATATTCTGCCAAAAAACTCATTTTCTACACAGTAGATTCTTACCACAGCAAGTTGCACATACATACACAGCTGGTGTCCCAAGCTTATTGAGGACTGGTAATAAGATTGCATTTCCTCTGCAGACTTTTCTCAGGACTGGTGAAGAAATCAGTCCCAAGAAATGTCTGCAGAGGAAATGCAGTCTTGTGCCTGGGTCTCCAAGGGCTCTTTCTCAGGAGACAGCTATGAAGTCTCATGGCACCCACTTGGTCCCCAAGATGACACCATAACCACTGTGGCATTTTCCCACTGAAAGTCTGTCTGTCCTGTGGAACACCGTGTACTTCACAGGAGCATAGGGTCATGCTTCTGTCATTCACATGTGTGTGAACTGCACACGCCTAGTGTGCTGCCCAGTGCATGTAAGCGCTCACCAAAACTTGTTAGATATTGAAAGGCATTGGACAATGTTTCCACCCATCTGAAGGCAATAGAGAAACTGCAATCTTGAGCCACACAGACAACCTCGGGCTGGTCACCCACTTCTTGGTTCCGCCTCCACCCTCAAACACTGTCAGGGAAAGGGGGGAGAGGTCATACTACATACCAGCAGGGGACAAAATATGTACCCCTTCTGAGTGGTCTCAGGAAATTGCATGTATTCCTTCAAGGGGTGGGGGATCAGCAGAAACATTTTTGGTGGCATTTTCCAAAAAAAAGACATTTCTTTTTGAGAAAGCTTTAAGCACATCCAAGTTTCATACAGGTCGGCTATGTGGAAGCTCTGACTAAATCCTCTGATGGCATTTCAAGTGGCACTGCTTTTTTTAGGTCTTCTCAGGAAGAGAAGATTCAGCATCCAGGGGCATGAGTTTAAAGTTGACCTTCTATTGTTTGTTACTTACAAAGCAAACAATACTGAGGATGCAAGGAAATCCCTCTTTGGTGGCTTTTATTTCTACTTCTCTCCTCTTCCAAAATACTTAAGAGGTGCTTTGTAGAATAGTATCTGGACTTAACGTCATACCCTAACTTATCTAGAAGATTAAATGTCAAATATCTAAAGGCAATACCAGCTTACCAGCTATTGTTGATGGAATTAAGTTGTTCACAAATTATGTTAGGGGGAGTCCACAGTTATTTCTATCCTCTGGATGGCCTTCTCGCTGAAGCCTCAGGACATACTCCCACTGAACTTCTATCTAGAAATGTAGCATGCAGGTTAAAATTAGAAGAGTTAAACTTTCCCATGGATGTGAGTTATGAGCCTTGGCATGAGAAAAACATTGGCCCTTTGCATCTCTTCATTGTTTGACCCACTTTCAGCCAGACATAATTTTGAAGATCCTCTCATACAGGAACATGCTGGCCTCTCAGTCAGAACCAAGGGTTAGCCAAGAAAAGCAAAGGCAGCCAACTTCACTCAGTCTTAAGAAGCACAAGAAAACTTCTTTTAGTCAAATAATTGACTACAGGGAAACAATTCCACCTAGGTCTAAGGGAGATAAATGTACGGGAACTATCTTTTTAAAAACTTTTTTTTTTCTAATTCAAATTTCAGTGTTTTTTTATTTTTAAAGATTTTATTTATTTATCTTTAGAGGGGAAGGGAAGGAGAGAGGGAGAGAAATATCGATGTATGGTTGCCTCTCATGTGCCCCCTGGGAACTGGCCTGCAACCTAGGCAAGTACCGTGACTGGGAATCGAACCACAATACTCTGGTTCGCAGGCCCGCACTCAATCCACTATGGGAACCATCTTTATCACCTGTCACTTCCTGCCACTAGCTTTCCCCCAGAGGACAGACACTGTTTTTGTTCCATTTAATGTTCTAAAAATAGTCACAGCGTTAAAAAATAATAAACATAACTATATACATCAATGTCTTATAAAGGGATATGGTTGGTCCTTCCTTCTTTACCAATAAAGTTTATAATCCATTTGTTGTGGACCATTATATGTAGTCAGGGTTGGAAACCGCCCTCTAAGACTGTGGTTATGCTTGGAATTCAACAGTGCAAATGAGCTTACAAAGAAGCATGCTGTACATGCTGCCCTAGAAATCCCAGATTCTGGGCCCACAATGAAAAGAAAATGGTTTTCAGCTCTGGTCACGTTTTCCATCTTCTTCTCACATGTACTATTTTAAAAGCCAACTGTACTCACGTGCTTGTTGAGGATGTTCCTCTCTAACTGCAGGTGAAGCCTCAGTTAGTTCCTCAGAGGCATTCATCTCAGCAGGCCTCACTGAAGTAAGGGTGGCTGAGGTCAATTTTGGGCACCTACGCATGGTATCAGTGATCACTTGTGCTAAGGCAAACCTCTCCTCAGGGTCCGACATGTGCTGGTAGGCTTCAAAGTAGCAGTCAAGAAGCTGCAAATAAGGTTGATAGGGAACAGTGGAGGCTGTCATGAGCATATGTTTGCAATATAGTCTTTCCCATAAGTCAGCGGGGCAACTATGTGGCCGCCTGAATACTGAGCAACCCTGCACCAAGGAATAGACAAGAGGTAACTATGCTATTCACTCAGCTTTTAGTAAATGCAGGTTCACTCAAAGTAGAACATCAACATATATTAATATACTACTCATACTCTAACACTCTAAGAGAAGTATAACACATACACACACAGCAATCAATGGGTAATAAAGAAACAAGTCCCAGAGTCTCAGTCTTCAAGTCTAGGAGACAGCACAGTAGTCAAGGGAGTTGTCAGCATCTTGCAAGGAAGGACCTCCAGATCCAGGTGGGCAGCAGGGCAGATGAAGTCCTCAGTTCAGCAGTGCAGAGCCTCTGGCAGCTGATGCCAAGGGAGACCAGTGTGGTGTGGAATGGCACTCTGGTGTGTGGAGTGAGCTCACCTGTCTAGAAGAGGTCCAAAGCCTGCTGTAGTTATATCTTGAAAGTGGTATACCCCACCCTTCTGGATCTCTTGATAGGTGTCTTGGCAACCCTGATGCCGAGGGTGGAATTTCCCCAGGGGCCCATCTGTGGGGGGTCCTGCTCTGCAGACACAGCTTTTCTGGTCATGTGTGCAGATATCTTAGGTGTGTCTCCTTGCCATATGTGTCTAGTGTGACAGGTAGTTTCCCTCTTGAACCAAAGTGTCATGACTGACTGGCAGCCATCTTGGTTGACACGAGTGACTCCATTTTATTTTATATACTTTACACTATCTTTACCAGACCAATGCCATTTTATTGTTCCTGCTCTCTACAGAAGCAGTCCTAGGGCCCAGCAAAGAGAGGTGAGGCACCACCCACTCCATGCTTTGGGAAGACCCTGGGTACCAGCAGAAGACAGACAGTGCTGAACCTCTGGGTACAGGCCTGGTGTGGGCAGCTGCAGCATTGATGCAACACAGAGCGATCCTTAAACTTGCAGACAGACTTTGGGAGGGCAAGGGAAAGAACATTCTGTCTCCTTTTTCCCTGCTCTCTCCAGATAAAAGAGGGTTATATCATGGATAACATCACATCTAATAATCATAAGCTCCAATCACAGCACATTCACTGTCACTTCATCAAATATATTTATCTTCCATACTTTTCTTCACAGCCCCATTCCCCACTTCCTTGTACTCTATCACCAAATGGTGGCCCCCTCCCCTCAGTCCCATTTCTGACCCCTTCTCTTTAATAGTCTGCCCGAATTTCACCTATGCAGAATGATGGGGGGTATGGTAGAATGGAAGGCTGAGAGTGAATGTCCCCCCAATACAAAGGTATTTATTCCAGACTGGACTCCACCAGGATGGGCCTAGGGCAGAGAACTCTCAAAAGCATTATGGAAGCTTGTTTTCTTGAGGTATTCACAAGCCTTTTCTAAAAAACAAAGAAAGCTTCTACACACTAATCATTCTTAGTGTGGGAATTCAGAGAGGTGCTCTTTTATTTAGTTTTTACATTTGTCTATGAGCTTAAGGAATTTCTGTTCTATGTATAAATTCTATTTGTGTGTAGTTAGTCATAGTGCTAATCAGAATAGCTCTTCAGAGGTCACTGGGCTGGAATCCCAAATAGGAACCTAAAGGCAAGGTAAGTAAATAGTTCTGAACAATGTAATTACTGTTTTAAAACCCCCGTTGGCCTTAGACACTCTTAATTTTGGAGACCCTGTCCCATTTATATCCCACATACATTAAAATGTACTCACATCCTCCTAATTCCAAAACCAGATAAAGAAAGGAGATTAAAGGCCAATATCCTTGATGAATATAGATGTTAAAATCCTCAGAAAAGCTTAGCAAACTGGATCCAGCAATACATTAAAAAGATCATAAGCCATGATTAAGTGGAATTTATTCTGGGGATGCAAGGTTGGTGCAATATCTGCAAATCAATAAACGTGATACACCACATAAACCAAATGAAGGATAAAAACCACATGATCACATCAACAGAGGCAAAAAAAAAAGCATCTGGTAAAATCCAGTACCCATTTATGATAAAAACTCTCAGTAAAGTGGGAATAGAAGGAACATACCTCAACGTAACAAAGGCCACATATGACAAACCCACAGTCAACATCATCTTCAATAGGCAAAAACTACTAGTGTTTCTCTTAAGGTTGGGAACAAGACAGGAATGTCCGCTTTCACCTCTTATTCAATATAGTACTAGAAGTCCTAGCCACAGCAATCAGACAAAAAGAAGAAATAGAAGGCATCTAAATTGGAAAGGAAGAAGTAAAACTCATTATTTGCAGATGATGTGACACTGTATGTAGAGAACCCTAACCATTCCATCAAGATAACTACTATAACTGATAAATGAATGCAGTGAAATAGCAGGATACAAACTAAATATCCAGTATCAGTTGCATTTTTATACACCAATATGAACTCTCAGAAAGGGAAACTAAGAAAACAATCTCATTTACTACTTCTTAAAAAATACCTAGAAATAAATTTAACCAAGGATATAAAATAACCTGTACTTAGAAAATTCTATGACACTGAAGAAAGAACTTGAAAAAGATAGAAAAAAGTGGAAGCATGTACTGTGTTCATGGATTGGAAGAATTAACATCATTAAACTGTCCATACTATCCAAAGTGATCTCTAGATTCTATACAATTCCTATCAATATACCAATGGCATATTTCACAGACCTGGCACAAATATTACAGAAATTTGTATGGAACCACAAAGGACCCCAAATAGCCACAGAATCTTGAGAAAGGAGAACAAAGTTGGAAAAATCATGTTACCTGATGTCAAACTATACTATTGTGCAAGGCCATAGTAATCAAAATGGTTTGGTACTGGCATAAAAACAGACATGTAGATCAATTGAACAGAATAGAGAGCTCAGAAATAAACTCATAACTTTTTAGTCAATTAATATTTGACAGAGGAGGCAAAAATATTCAACAGGGTGAAGACAGTCTCTTTAATTAATGGTTTTGGGAAAATTGGACAGATATGTGCAAAAAATAAAACTAGACCACTTTTTTACACTATACACCAGAATAAACTCAAAATGGATTAAAGACTTAAATGTTGCAGGTGGGGGCTGATTTTTGGCCTGCATCCCCAGGAAACCCCAAGGCCAACATACCCAGCGGACAGCCACAGACCAGGTTGGAGCACCATCATGCTGCCCCTGCACAGCTGATGCTCCACTGTTTATAAGAATGTTTAAGAAACTTATTGAGGACCTAAGCAGCATAAAAAAGACCTAGTCAAAAATGAAGTATACACTAATTGAAATAAGCAACAATTTACAGGGAAACAACAGTAGAATGGATGAAGCTGAGAAACAAATTGATGATTTGGAACATAAGGAAACAAGAAACAACTACACAGAACAAGAAGAAGAAAAAAGAATCCAAAAAAAAAAATAAGGATAGTATAAACAGCTTCTGCAACAACTTTAAGCAATCCAACTTTTGTGGCATAGGTGTGCCAGGAGAAGAGAAAGAGCAAGAAATTGTAAATCTATCTGAAAAAAAAAAGTGAAAGAAAACTTCCTTAATTTGGTGAAGGAAATAGGCATGCAAGTCTAGGAAGCACAGAGAATCTTAAATATGATGAAGGCAGAGGCCCACTCCAAGACACATTATTATTAAAAGGCCAGAGGTTAAAGAGAAAGAGAGACTCTAAAAACAGGAGAAAACAAGTTAGCTACCGGAAGTTTGCCAGATTGGAGGGGTGGTGAGGGGGAGAATGGGTGAAGAGGTGTGGAGTTTAAGAAGCACAAATAAGTAGGTACAGAATAACTATGGGGATGTAAAGTACAGTGTAGGAAATGGAGTAGCCAAAGAATTTATACTATGACTCATGGACATGAACAATAGTAGGGGCATTGCCTGAGGGAGTAGAGGTCACTGGGTGGAGGGGGACAATGGGGGATAAGTCAGGACAACTATAATAGCATAATCAATAAAATATAATAAAAAAGATTTAAGTGTCAGATTCAAGACTATAAAAACATGGTCTTGAATCCTAGAAGAAAACATGGGCAGTAAAGTCTCAGACACTGCTTGTAGCAATATTTTTTCTGATATAGCTCCTCGGGCAAGGGAAACGAAAGAAAAAAAAAAAAACCAAATGGGACTATATCAACTAAAAATGCTCAGCAAAGGAAACCAGCAACAAAATGAAAAGACAACCTACTGAATGGGAGAACATATTCGCCAATACACCTAATAAAAGGTTAATCTCCAAAATTTATAAAGAACTTATAAAACTCAATACCAAAAAATTAAACAATCCAATTGAAAAATGGGCAAAGGATCTGAATAGACACTTTTCTAAAGAGGACATATACACATATGAAGATGTTCAATGTCACTAATCATCAGAGAGATGCAAATTAAAACCACAATGAGATATCACCTCTAACTGGCAGAATGGCTATCATCAATAAATAAACAAACAACAAATGTTGGCAAGGATGTAGAGAAAAGGGATCCTTTGTGCACTGTTGGTGGGAATGCAGACTGGTTCAGCCACTGTGGAAAGCAATATGGAGTTACCTCAAAAAATTAAAGATGGAACAGCCTTTTGACCCGGACAGTCCCCTGTGTTCATTGCAGCACTATTTACAATAGCCAAGCTATGGAAGCAACCCAGGTGCTCATCAGTGGATTCAAAAGCTGTGGTACATTTTCACAATGGAATACTACTCGGCCACAAAAAGAAGGAAATCTTACAACAGCATGGCTGGACCTGGACAGTATTATGCTAAGAGATATAAACCAGTCAGAGAAAGACAAGTATCCTATGATTTCATGGTTTTATATGTGGGATCTAATGAACAAAATAAACTAACAAACAAAATAGAAACAGACTCATAGATACAGAGAACAGACGGCAGCTGTCAGAATGCAGGAGGGTTGTGGCACTGGGTGAAAAAGGTGAAGAGAT